ATGCAGCCTGCATCACTGTGCCATAACAGCTTTTTGTAATCTCATTTCTTCCCTCCAGCACCTTTGTTATTTGTAGTTCTGCTTATGGTGTTAATGCTAATTCCTACAGTGCTAATGTAGTAATAGAAAAGTTTTCTGTCAGTACTGAATTGGGTGTAACTATGTCAGTCAGGGTTGCATTCTTTTTAGTTGACTCCTTATGTCTGTCCTTAGCTGCAGCAATTCTCTGCTGGCCACTATCACAATTTAGTCTGGCCACTATCACAAGCACAGCTAGCATATAAACGAAACATTTTATTTTTAAATAAGGCCTGTAGAAGTGCTGAGTCCTGGGATATCATTGGTTTGGTCTCCAGGATACAGTGGCAAAAAGAAAAAATTATGTGTAAAGTGACTTGTCAGTACACAACAACCCTAATAGAATTATTTTCCTGCTGCAATAGTTTGGAATGTTAATAACTGTACTAAGTACGTGACTTCCTCAACATGGATTATGTTTTAGGTAAGTGGGTAACTTGTTAGGTCTTTAAAAATTTCAGTGTGTTTGATCACATTCAAGATAGTTGTTCTCACCAACAGGATACAAATATAAAACTGGACTGAAATAGGGTAGCAAGAAGATCTTGATATCTTGATAACAATTGTTATTTCTCTAGAGGCTTCATGTGACTAAAAGTGGAAATAACTTAATTGTCAAAGACAGTTCTTTATAATGTAGAAGAGTTGGGGTGTTCTGTGTCATTAAATATTTTGTCACCTTTAAATAGCATATTATGCCATGGAAATGAAAGCCTTTGCCCAGCATTTTCATCATGAAAGGTACTTACTAGGAGCGTGTGTATGAGAGTGACAAACTGAAGGTATTGCAACATTTTGAGAGTTGAGATTTATTTATTTAGAAAGGCTTATGAAGTAGCTCTTTGTAGCTCCTTTTTTTACAAAGTGATCTGTTTGTGTTCCTTTGGTTTGTTTTGAGTTTTGTTGGTTTTTTTGGTTTTTTTGTAATGTTTTGACTAGCAGCTAGTATTGTGCTGCTGTCTGGACGCAGAAAATGAATCTGATGTCTGTGAGGACCATCAGTCTGTCACAAATGGAGTCCCCCTTGCATGAGGGCTTCTGGACTTTTGGGAGTTTGTGTGCCAGAAGTGTGCAATTATTCACATATGATAAAGTCTGAATAATAGACTTGAGGTTTTTGATTTCACAGCATCCATAAACTGAGACTATATACAAGATACTCTCCCCTTAAGTGAGGCTGTCTAACCTTTAATTTTGAAGCCTGTAGTTCTGGTTTGTCCCTTCAGTTCATTGGGGAAGGATTTGGGGACATTTTCAGCAATTTGCCATCCATCAGGAATTGCTTTGTTTGATCAGGTCTTGAGATTCTGCATCTTCAGGACAGTAATCCAGTATCTGCTTCTCATAGTGGCCAACAGTAGAAGCTTCAGAATAAAATTTATCTGGAAGAGAGAAGGATATTGTTACCCAGTTTCAGGGTATATTGATATGCTATCTCTTACAATAGACTTGAATATGCTTTAAAACAAGATTGTCATTTTTAAAGACTGATAATTGATAACTTCGCTTTTGGACTGTGACATCTTGGAGTTAAAAATTCATCGGTGTGTCCAGACAATATTGTAATTTAAATCTCCTTGGTCAGTGTGCTCATGAGAGGAAGAGGTGTACTTGTAACTTTAGCTCCTGTCATTTGGGGATGTCTTCTCTTGTATTTCTGGTTTATTTTGTCATGTTTCGTGATTATTTGTAATCAGGATGTGTTTTGGGTAGTTTCCCACCCATTTCTGGACTTAATTCCTTTCTCAGAAAAGGCTAGTGAAGATATGAGTATTAGTGTGCATAGGATTTCAGATGGATTTTTAATTTTTAGTTCATTAAAAACTCATGAGAAAAATATGAGTGCTTATTCTAATAATAATTAAATATTATTAAATAATAATTAATATTTAATAATAATTATTAAATATTATTAAAATAATAATCTGTTAGTGTTGGAAAATACCATTAATGCCTTGGAAAGGTGGAATTGGCAGCAGCAATCTCTGGCATTTACAGCCTTGAGGCCATCATGTGGGATTGATATCCATTACAGAAAAAAGTTTAAGTCTAGAAGAGACGTATTTTATATTGTCTTTCTTAATAGTCCTTAACTTTCCCACTATTCTTGCTTAAGGTCCAGTTAGTGATTATTTTCACAACAAGCTCAAAATACAGTCTTCAGCACGAGTTCTGGAGTCGTGTGTCTTGGTTTCAAGCCATGATGATTATTAAATGATCCTGGTTAGAGCTGTTTTCTCTTAAATCGTCCTAGGGAACGGTTAATTAAAGTCCTTAGCTTTTTCTCCTCTTGTTTTCTTCTCCCAGTGACTTGTATTTTGAAAGCTTTTGCAGTGGCCTTGAACTGAGTTTGTGGTTTATTTGCAGGGAGTGCAGTGGCCAAGTTGAAGCTGTGGAGCAGCAACTGCTTCCTACAGGTGGCTTCACACCAAGAGCTTGCTTCACTGTGACCCATCAGTATGTTTGTATTTGTGGGAGTGGTGTGGGAGTAGTGTTCCCCTTTGTGGGCTCCCAGAAGCATTTAACTTGCTGTAACTTGTACATGATTTAAATAAAAATGTAAGTTCATAAGTGGTACATATTGATTTGTACTGGCAGAAAAGTGTATTTTCTTGGCTGTCCCCTTTGCATTCTGATGACTGATGTCCTCTCCCACTTCGTGGAGAACGTGGGATTACTAAGTAACTTCAGGCTGACCCTGTGACTGAGGCCTTGCTTTTTTGAAGGGCTATTGGTTCAGTTTTGGTGCTTGCAAAGGCTGTATATTTCTCATATGTTGTTAAATGAGAATGGTTATTTGGCAGTTAATGGCAATTAACTATCTTCCAGATCCTGGGCTTCAGCAGTCAGACACCTGAATTCAATTTTGGAGCCTAGGACATCAGCAAGTACACAGAAAAAAGCTCCTAATTTCTTTTCCATTCCCTTTTTTCTACTTTTTACTTAGCAGTTTCTATTTTGTCTTCACCTTCTGCAGATCAAAATTGTTTTGGATTTGGTGGCTTTGTAATTCTCCTAACTATAAAACCAGTTAACGCAATACTTATGTATTGTAACTAATGCTATGAGGCATGTAAAGAAAATACAAAAACAGTGCTGAGAAATAACTTTTAGAGGTTCTTCTGTGTCACGCTTTGATACAAGATAATGTCTGCAGAGCTTAAAAAAGGTAGTTATATCTGTGCAAGCTTACTTGTCAAACTACTTTAGTGTGAAACTAATTACACTTTCAAAGCAGTAACTTACAATAATAATACTTAACATTGGGCATGTGGATGTGTGTAATCACAGGTAACATACTTATTTAGATGAGGCCTGATGAGATGTTTCATCTCTATTTTGCAAGGAAGCATCTGTGCTTTGATTCATAGGAGGAAGATTGCCTGGATCAGCAAAGCAATGGAGACTTGATGAGCAGCATCAAGTCTGAGCCTTGTCCAGCCCAGCTTCCTCCTGGTTGTAGGCTGATGCTGTATTGATGGGAGACAGTGCAGAATAAAGAAAATGCAGGTGATGTAGAGGACTTCCCAACCTGGGATTGTGTTGTGAAGCACAGGTAGAAGGCACTGGGGTATTTGGTGCTCTTCTCTTCTTTGCTGTTCAAAGCTGTAGCTGTAGCAAAGGGTGTTGTGCATCAGCCCTCTGCAAGGCATGGGGGAACGTCTTTGCGTGCTGAGAAGAAGTCTGTCCATAGTACTTGCCTCTGCCAGATGTCTCACTGCTCCATCAAGCACACCAATTCAGGTTGATGGCTGTACTCACAAGGGATTTGAAGGGAGCAGATCTGGATTGTACTGGGAAGATTTGCCTTTGCCAGACTTCTGCCTGGGAAACCTTAGGGCAAAAGAGGCTAAAGAGTGGTTTGCTAAGGTATGAATCACTATAGTGACTTCTTAATTTTAGTTCCCTGTTGGATGCCTTAGCGATCTCACACAAGAAAAAAATCTTATTTGCTATTTGGGGAACAACAAGATGGGCTTTAATCTGGAATTGGAGCATACATTTCATTAGCACTTCCTGATATATAAAGTAGTCTTTTTTAAACTTCGAGCTGGTGCAGGTCACTTAGTATTTCTCAGGAGCAATTGTGAGCTTTGTGGTTTGTCCCCTGTGCGGGTCTGCCAGTGTAGCTTGCCTGAATATGATGGATGCAGATGTGGTTCATGTAGGTGAGGAGGGAGGGACTGTGGAACTCCTGCAAAATGAAGGCAGCAGCAAGCAGGTGATGAGCCACCACCCATGACTCACTCCTTGTTCCTGGCTCAAGAGTTGAAAAAAGTGCCATGAAAGCAGATGTAGTGGGGGGTGCAAGCTGTGGCCTGTACAAAATATTTCCAGCAGGTAGATTCATGGTTTTGGCCCATGACTTGAGGTTTACATACTGGGAAAAAAAGCAGTAGTGAGCTAGCTTGGGGTGTGTGGTTTCCTATGTGAACAGCAATTATATAATTTGTTTGTTGTGTTAAAACTAATGTGGGTCTCCAGGCTGCTCAGTTAAGTTGATGTTTTTTTAGCATTAGAATTTGAAATGATGGGTGATGCATCCTGCTTCTATCTGGAGTAGAAGGATAGTAGGAGGATATACAGAGAAATAGGAGCATTAAACCAGCCTGCGGTAGCCTTACTAGAGAGGAACTAGTTTGTTGCCAGAGGCTCTCAAATGCGGTGCTGTAGGTGTTGTCTGTGTGATAAAGATAGCTGTCAGCTGCATAGAACATTTTTGCTTTTGGAAAAAAGACTAATCGGTTGCTAAAAATTCTTAGGTGTTAATACTTATTTAAATCTAGCCCAAGTCAATGCCTCTCAGCCAGCAGGTCCTGTTAGATATTTTAAGAAATGCGGGGTTGGTACCTTCCTTGGGGAAGGCTGCTTGCTGTTGAATCAATCCTGTTCTAATAACAAACTTTTTTTTCTAATTTTAGGATACTTGTGAAAGATGGTGGATCGCTTGGCAAACAGTGAGGCAAATACTAGAAGAATAAGTATAGTGGAAAACTGCTTTGGAGCAGCTGGTCAACCCCTGACTATTCCTGGCCGTGTTCTGATTGGAGAGGGAGTCCTAACAAAACTGTGTAGGAAGAAGCCCAAAGCAAGGCAGTTCTTCCTGTTCAATGACATTCTTGTTTATGGTAACATTGTCATCCAGAAGAAGAAATACAATAAGCAGCACATAATCCCACTGGAAAACGTCACTATTGATTCCATCCAGGATGAGGGAGACTTACGGAATGGGTGGCTTATCAAGACGCCAACAAAGTCTTTTGCGGTTTATGCTGCCACTGCTACAGAGAAGTCGGAGTGGATGAACCACATAAATAAGTGTGTTTCTGATTTGCTTTCCAAAAGTGGGAAGACCCCTAGCAATGAACACGCAGCTGTGTGGGTACCGGACTCGGAAGCCACTGTGTGCATGCGCTGTCAGAAAGCCAAGTTTACGCCCGTCAACCGTCGTCACCACTGCCGCAAGTGTGGCTTTGTTGTGTGCGGGCCCTGCTCGGAAAAGAGGTTTCTGCTCCCAAGCCAGTCTTCCAAGCCAGTGAGAATCTGCGACTTCTGCTATGATCTTCTTTCTACTGGGGAGATGACTGCTTGTCAGTCCTCTAGGTCAGACTCCTACAGCCAGTCACCTAAGTCATCTCTAAATGATGTGTCTGATGATGATGATGATGAAGACAGTAGCGATTAAGGACCAAATGTTTTTTCCATGTGCTGCAAGTTGTATTTCAAACCATATGGAGCTGCTTTTGGGGAAGTCTGTAGTGAGGTTCCTCAGAGAAATCCTGTTCTAGCCATGAAATATGCCTGAATATATTCAACTGCAATGTGCCTCAATCTATGAATTCTCTAGACAATAGTTGTTTTTTTCTCCTCTGCAGGGATAGACTGGTGCAAATGTTATCAGAATATTTTCCAACTTCATTTACTTGAGTTGTGTCTAAGTCTTGTGGAAGATTGGAGAATGAAATGTACTTTCTTAATTTAACAACCCATACTTTCTAATGTTTCACATTGGTATGTTATGCGGGGGTTTTTTCAGATCTGGGGAGGAAGACTGTAAGCGTGCATGGGATGATGATGTTTTCGTTAATCCTGTAGACCATCTTATTTTTCTAGCCATGGTATATAATTAATTACAAGGTCATCCAATTTGCAAACCTAAATGTCACAAAACATGGGAACTCTCGTTTTGCAGTTAGTTATGATTTCCTATGCCAAGCAGTGCCTTGTACCAATTGTGCTGATTCAGGAAGAAACAAACGTATTTTATGTCTGTATTTGCCTAAATGCTGGTGTCTGAGAGATTGTTGGTGCTATTGAAAATAACTGCTGTGTTCAAAGTGGAGCTTTGACAAGGTCATAACTGCACCCCGTGGTGAATGATGGAGACCCAAATGGCATGTCCTCACCTATGCAGGCAGACCGAAGACTTCAGATTCCCACAGGCTTCAGCAGCTTTCTCCTTGCAGAAGTTGTGCTGTGGGTTGGGATCTTGAGATGAGAAGCTTAGGGAGATTCTTCTTGGGGATTTATATAGTTTCTTTTCAGAACCGTTTCTAAGTTTCAAATTTGGCAAATGCATACTGAAATTTTACTTGGGTGACACAGCATTTGGGTGTGCTAGCCTACACATTTTTGGAAGTAATTCCCAAAAATGTCACAAATTCTTTTTCTTAAAACACTGGTGAGAGTCTTGGGTTTTTTCTTCCCCCTGGAGTTTTATTGGCTTGTTTGAAAATAACCTCATATTTTGAACAAGAAGCCTGCAAGTATCCTTATAAAATGGGCTTTCCTTTTTACACAGCTGACCTCAGGATAAATGTAAGATGCAAGTTATTTCATTTTAAATGTATACCCAGGACCAAGAAAAATGTATTTAAGGACTATCATGAAATTGTCAGTGCAGAAAATGTCACTATCATAGTGTTCATTTTAATTTCTTGAATACAGAAGTGTCATGTTCCCATATAAATGCAAAAGTTACATTTGCAAAGACATGTTAAACTGGCAAATACATGTTTCTGTATTTTTATAATGATAACCTCAATTTTGAAGCAGAAAAACCTCTTTGAAATAGTTGTATGAATATAGTAGCAACTGACTTTATACAAAAAATGTTAAACTTTTGTATCTCTAAATGACAATTTCTGCACTGTTTGCCTTGGTTGGCAATAATTGGGTTAAATATTTATTGAATAAACAATCAATGCTGCATGTTGCACTAGTCTCCCATTCTCTATGCTGAAAGTATCAGTCATATTTTTTTGTAAAGATTAGCAGAGTACTTCAGAGCCGTATCCCTCCATGAGATTTCTGGTAGCTGAAGATGCACTTAGCATCTATAGAGAGGCACTCTACATTCATACTTTGCAAGACATTGCTTCAGGTGAAAATTGTATCAGTAATTTTAGCTTAGACAATTTCTAAAAATAAGGCTTTCTTTAGAAGCACTGAGGAGTATTTGTTCTATTTGGAAATAAATACACAAAGGGAAAAACACTTTGATGCAAACTTGGGACCAGGAAGATTCTGTAAAATTGTCAGATTGTATATATTGAAAGACTAGTGGAAATAGTTGTATGTACTTTTTCCTTGAAAGATGGAGTGGTGACTCTGCAGCAGGGAAAATGGGCTGTTCTGAGAAGGCACTTTGAGTTAATAGTGATTTTGTACCTCTTGGAATTTCTGTTTCAGGAGTGGAGACTTGCTATCTTCAGTTTTTCTCTAGAATCGAAGTATAAACCTCCCTTGTACGTACCTTCCAATGACTAACAATAGTTTTCTTCCTTATCCAGTTGTTTCCTCATTCTTAAGCTGTCAGATTTTAACTGGTCTTATTAAAGAGTCCATCTCCTTGTGTACTTTCCCCTTGGTTTCCATAGGTTTTGCTTTTCAGCACCTTTTGGTGGTGGGAAAAGGGTTTTTGAGAGTTAGATCACATCCTGTATTTTGAGAATGTACTTGTACCTACTTCATATATCTTTTTACCTGTGAAGGAAACTTGCACTGTGCTGCACTGACCCCTGAAGCTGTAACCAAACCAATGTGTGTGTGTGGAATTTTTCACCTGAAAATGGACTGAACATTGACTTCTCTTGTGGTTAAAACTTTCTGAAAGGGCTCATTTCATACTTTGTAATCTTGTTCTGTCGAGTTACTTTATTTACAAATACATGGTATAGCTTCAATCCTGTGTTTAATTTTCTTTAACTGTGGGCCTTCAGAGGTGAGAGAAAACATGGCAGCTGGTTTTTATATTGACAAGTAGTTTAGCAGCAGGTTTATTCACTGTCAGGAGATACAAATAAACTGGGAGCATAAACGTGCAGAAGGAGTTTTAAGACTAATTTTGAAATAAGTGTGGTTATGGATATAGAAGCCAGTTATGCACTTAAGGAATGTTTTAAAAGAAGTATGACCAAGCACAATGCAAAGTTTGTGTTTTGTTGGACTGATGTTAGTTGCTGGAACTGACAGTTCCAGTCACTGGAAGTGGCTGGAGAGCCCTGCGTTTGGAGTAGCCCAGCTCCAACAATACAGGTCTCTGTTCTTGGACCTGCCAGACCACCCCTGGGGACAAGACTTCATGGAGTATCAAACAGGAGAGGAACTTGGTACTTTCCCCAAAACTTCTGTGTTCTTCTGGTCATAAAATAGTGGTTATGTATGGGAAGTCTTTGTATTTTCTGTACATTGTGGTAGATTTAACTTTTTTCTTTTTTTTGTTTTCTTTCTCCAAATTCAATCAAATAAAAACACCAGCATGCATGTCTTTTAAGGCTTTGCAGTCAGTTTCTGCTTTGTTAAAGATTCTGTACTGGAAAAATAAGTACATGCTTGCTTTAGCTGAATTCACATTTTGCACACTCTTTACCATAGTTCATTTGCTGGAAATATTAAAGGAAAGGGAGGAGTCTTTCTTTTGAAGATTTTAATTGAGCATGACTAAGTTCAATTTTTGCACCTCAACTATAAAATTCAGCTGTTCTCCTTTCAGATTTGATGCAGTTAAATTTGCTGTAGTTGTAATCTGAGGGTCAAGCACTGCTACTCAGTTGAAACAAAGTTTAACAAAATGGGCAAGTGGATTAAGGAGTACTGAATTTGCAGTGGGGTTTTTAAGGTCCTGTATCTAACAGGCAGATTGTGAAAATCACATTCAGAAACCTTGTATTTATTGTGAGGTTTTCCCCCCTGGGGGATACGCTGTAACTAATCTCTTAATGCAAATGAAACGGTGGTTGTCGTAGTTGCTGGTTAATGTTTGTGTGGAAGCAGATTATGGATTGTATTGTGATTTTTGTGTTTTCCTGTAAGGCCTGAACTGAGAGAACCATGCCTGGTTCTGTTAGCAGATACAGTCAGAAAAGAGTATTGATGTCCCCCCCTTTCCCCTCCAATAGCAAATTATTGTAGTTAATATTAGAAAGTCTTTTGGCTCTCTATTGCTTTTCATTTGATGAAATCTGAGCTGCTTGTTTGTGCCTGCAGCCGGTCTCTTGCCAGAGCTGGCTCCCATGACTCATTGGCTCTCCCAGCGCTCTCGCTGGGAAGAATCTCTGCTCTGTTCCCTTGCTGTGATGGAGTTGGGAGCTGCTCGGGAGCGCAGCACAGTGACCATGAGTCTGCTGTACTGCACAGACCTGAACATTCTCTGAAACTGATTCACCAGTAAGAAATTTGAACCTTAGTCTTTGGAATAGAGGGTAATTGCTATGTAAATTTTTAATTGTCTGTGAAATACTACATGTGCCTGGAGTAAAAGTCGAAATGCTTCAACTGCACTTTGGACACCTTTAGAATAAGAAGTGACAGAGTGAATCAGTTGAGTTGACAGTGAAATAAGATGCTAAGGAGCAGAAGGCATTTCATGGTCACTTAGTGCATCTAACTGGTCATATTTAAGTGAACAAATCTGTCCCTTAAGATGAAGTTTTACATTTATGAAACTCGCAGTTACTTGTACCTAGTATTTTTAAAAACTCCATCTCAGGCTGGTTTCTGCAAGTGTAGAAGGCTAACACATGACAGCAACAGCAGCAAAGGCCAAGGTGATGCCAAGAGGCCTGATTGCACTCACAGCCTTCCCCCCCTGCCCTGTTCAGGGTCATTCTCAGTTACACAGAAGGTAACTGGATTAAATGGTAAGAACTTCTCTAAAAGAAACCTCCTGTACAAATCCTTTTAAACAAGATGATACCCCCAGACTAAATAAGTGTACAGGCAGAAAGCAAGAGCTGATTTTATTCAGATATTCTGAGGCATAATGCTAATGAGTTCAATGATTTAAATCTTTCAACAGTCAGACCTTCAAGAGCATCTCTTGACCTTTCTTAGGTAGTCTTTTTTGCTGATGAAAAGGAAATGCACTCAGCTCCATTACAGGTGTGAGTGTCTTGCTGCTGATTCATTTTAGCATCTGGCTGGTAGACTTGCTATTTAGATTTTTGTCTCCAAAAGCTGTTGCCTTTATGCAAATTAAATCATAGGCTGTGTTGTAATAAGAGTTAGGGCTTGCTGGCTATTTTATTTATAGAGCCTGGTGATGCTGTTGAGCACTTCTAACCCCTTGGCTTGTATCAGGTTTGCATAACATCAGCAGTCTCTGAGAAATGTGTCCAGCAGCAAAGGAAGGGGATGTGCTTTGTCTGTTGGAAATAGCAGTCAGTTCCTTCTGGTACCTGTTTGCCCCACTCCAGGCTTGTGCTTTCTCCAGAATGACAACTCCAAAATGAGTTGGGATATCTGCTTCCACCTGTGTAAATATAGAGGTAATTTCCTTCCTTCCCCACCTGTCTTGCTGCATACTTGTTTTATCAGGGTATTGCTCTGGAAGATAAATAACTGAGGGCTGAGCCTGCCTCTCTGGTGTGACTGGGGTGATGTGAGCGCTCCTGTGGTGTTGCAGCAGGTTGTGGAATATGTACACTGTGCTGGGAATGAGGAAGACAACAGAGCTAAGTGCTACACTGGGAAAACACATTCTCTGTAAGGAAAGAGCTGGCCTCTCAGCGGAGAGCATGCGAAGTGCTGTGGTGCTTACTGCTAGATGCAGAAGGAAAGGCAACCAGCTTCAGTGGGAGTGGGCTTTGGAGGGTTTGTAGTCTGGAAGCTAAAGTTACTATTAAAAGTAAAAAAAAAAAAGTGTGTAATAGGTCTGTGAAAGTATTACTCATGTGCATCTGACCTGAAAGTTATTTATAAAAACTTGACTTTTTGAATAGATGGGCTTAAAGGTTGGAAAGATCAACCTGGCTTTTAAACAAGAGCATTGTGTAATGTTCTTAACAGCATTGAAACAACATATGAGAGGAGGAGTGCATGAAAAAGTCTATTTTGAATATTATTCACTTTGGTTTTTAGTGATGCATATAGTTTGTCTCAAGTGAGACAACTGGAAGCAGAGGAAATTTACCTTCTGTTGAGGTACTTCCTAGTTCACATGATAAAAGGGTTTGTTACTTCCCTTGATGGAAGTTAAATATTGTAAGTCCAAGAAAATATTATCTTTCTGTGAATAAACTGAGTTGTTGTAGTGAATATTTAATACAAATCAAGGGAGCACAGTGCCGTTCTGCTCTAACAAAGTAGTCTCAATGTGCTGCATCCCGGTGGCTTCAGGTTTACAGGTGATGACAGCAGGTCTTGAACGGCACGTGAGTACATTGTTAACACGGACCCTCCCTGTGACCCTTTTCCAAGGGAACAGGAATAATTCAGGAAGGAAAAAAATATTGCCTTTGCTGGTCAGCATGTCAAAATTAATGCTGGCAAGCTCAGTTTGTGATTCTTAGTGGCTGCAAATGCCTGAGGATCCTTTGATGTAGTTTTGAAGAGAAGTAAATTCCTGCCATGCTGTCCCAAAAGCACACATGGGGAAGGAGGTGTGTACCTCATCTGAAGTGCCCCGTGCCTGTCTGCCCTGGAAGAGGGAGCCCAGCACTGTTGGGTGCTCTACAGCAGCTCTCCAAAAATGCGGTGAGCTCTTGCTGTCCAGCTGTGTTCCTGCAGTCCTCAGCTGAGCGGGCTGGGTAGCTCGGAGCCGGTTAAGGGGTGCGGGGAGGATCACCCCAGGATGCAGATGGGTTTGGTGAAGTTTGGCGTTGCTAGCAGGGCAAGTGCAGAGACTGCAATCTGCTTCCAGCACAAGCGTCGGCATGTCTTGTGCCTGTCGCTCGGCTCTGTCAGGTGGGTGGGGCTCAGCAATGAATACCTGGCACCGGGGCTGCTGCCTGAGAAGCTTTATCTGCAGTTTCTGTCTTGGATGTGGTGTTTTTTGTTGGTACCCGTGTTAAGAGGCTGTTTTGGTTGTCAGAAGAGCGTCAGGCATGCAGGCAGTTGTCCCACTTGTGCAAGCGTCAGTGCTGGTGTACAGGTGACTAATGCCTGAGGCCAGCTTCTGTCCCTGCCGTGTTTCTGGCTGCTGCTGTTCACCACGGTGCACGGTGGCAGCCTAAATGGGGTTAAAAGGAAGCTTGTTGATCCACAAAATGAATGTAACACGGCTGCTGGCAGGAGCAAGGGACCAGCAGTGCCACTGCAAGTTTCTTCTGCTCCTCGGTCCTGCGTGCTGTCAGACCAGTGATGTCAGGCTGGGACTGACTCGACTCCTTGGCTGAAGAAAAATCTCTCACCTATTCTCTTGGTCTTCTTGTACCTGTGTAAACTGGGAGGAGAAGGAAAAGGGTGTCTGTCTGCTGCTTCCTGTGGGAAGTCATGGGACAGCTGAGACTGGTATGACCTCTGGAGGTTGTCTGAACCAACCCCCTGCTCAAGCAGGGCCACGTAGAGCTGATTGCCTAGGAATGTGTCCAGGTGGCTTTTTAATATCCCCAAGGATGGAGACTACACCATCTCTGGGCAATGTACTCCAGTGCTCAGTTGCCCTCATGTTGAAAAAAATGTTTCCTGACCTTCAGAGAGAACCTCCTGTGTTTTGGGTGTGCCCATTGCCTGTGGTACTGTCACTGGGTACCACTGGAAAGAGCTTGGCTCCCTCCTTTTTGTACCCTCCCTTCAGGTATCTGTATGTATTGATAAGGTTCTCCTTGAGCCTGCTCTTCTCCAGGCTGAACTTTTCCAGCTCACTGAGCCTTTCTTTATAGGAGATATGCTCCAGTCCCTTAATGATCCTCGTGGCCCTTCATTGGATTCTCTCTGGTATGTCTTTTCTACTAGAGAGCCCCCAACTGGACTGAATTCAGGTGTGGCCTCACAAGTGCCAAGCAGAGGGGAGGAATCACCTCTCTCCATTTGCTGGCAATTTTTCCCTCATGCAGCTGAAGGTACTGTTTGCTGTCTTTGCTGCAAGAGCATATTTTACCTTGTATAAATTGGATCGTGAAGTGCTGGGCACATCTATAAACTTCTGCTAAGTTTATTTTTTATTTCAGGTTTGTTTGTCCCTCCTGTGTAGTTGTGTTCCTTCTTCCCCCCTACAATCCACCCCCACTCCCCCTCCACCCCCAAAAAAAAGGTATATTTTTTTATGTGTTTTGAAAGAGGAAGGAAGAGATTCTAAAAGTTGCTGGTAATTTCTTTATTTGTACCCAGATTTTTCACACCAGGATGTTTTCCCTGTTGCCATCCCTTTGCTCTGCCATGCATTCTCACTTATACTGTGTTTCTTTCTAGATGAACTATTACCCAGCCTCTTGAATACTTCTGTTTTCTAGCAGAAGAGCTGACACTGTTTTGATTTGGCTGTCCCAACATAGTGTGAGGATTTGATTTGTTCCAGCCAGGGGTTTCCATGCCAAAAATCTTGGCTGTGTTTGG